CTTAGGTTCATTTTCATAGCGCAACTTCCCGTTAGTATCGCGGTCTCGGTTCTAAGCTTAAAACTCAAATAAAAAGGTAAGAAGGGGAGTGGAAAGCTTGAAGGGTCAATAAGAGACGAATGAAGAAACAGAAACGCGAAAAATGGAAATAAATAGCAGGAAACCCTTGAACTATTACACTGCACAAAATGCATTAGGAAATGGGTGAAAAAAGTAGTGTAACGAATGAAATCATACTTCCCTCCGTATTTGGTTCTCAGTGAGAGGCGAAGGCACTTCGGGAGTAGCCCAAGTGAAAGCAAATGCCAACAGGAAAGGTGTCGATGGCTCCCTTTTCTGAGGTTTGCTTACAAGCAGGCTGATGGCGGGTAATGAATAAAACAGGAGATAAAAATGGAATTTTCGTTCATTTTCTGTTGTCACCATGGCCGTCTTAACCCCTCCTGCTTCCTTTTTTTCGTCCAGTAAAGAACGATACCTCTCTAAGACTGACAACCTGTAAAAAAAAGTGAATAACCATCTCAATCAGCTTTTTTTGGTACAGTTTTACAGCCCAATATAGGTGTTACTAGGAATTCCCTCCAATCTCCCATTTTATTTCAAACCTTGATTTAATTTTGGGGTCTGATTTGAACCGATATGGTAAGAGATAAATTCAAGACAAGTTTAATTCACTTCAATTTTATGGCTCAGAACACAAATTAACCCTGTGATCTGATGTGCTGCAAACGGCGACGCATAACCAGTCCCCGGAGACAGCTGATTCCACCAGGCGCCACGTTCATTATTGCTCCTGTACTAGGTGCAAAATAAGAAAAAGAATTAAAAAATGAAAAAAATGGCATAAAACGAATAATACAGTAAGTGAAATAAAAAAAAAGAATTCTAACACCTCATTCATGTTGTCCTCAAAGTTATCCTACAAGTTATCACTTCACCCGTTATAGCCCTCCACTGTTTCCTCATATCCTCCCTTCAGTGCTGCATAATTTCTTTCTAAGATTACAACTTTTATTTATAGAAAACTGAAATACGTCTATTACTTTCCCTCGCTTCAGTTACGTGGGTTAGCTAATGCTCATGCGATGTTAATGAGATGCTCTTATCATGGCACCAACATGTACACTTGTCTTAAAACTTTAAGGTTAGGATTAACTTAAAAGAAATTTAAAAAAACCATAAAAAATTTAAATCAAGTTCAATTTTACAGCTCAATGAACGTACTAACCCCGCATTTTGATGCACAGAAAATGGTGATGCATGACCAGCCTTCGCTGACAACTGTTTCCACCAAGCATCACATTCTGTATTTTTCCTGCACTGATTGCAAATGTGAATAACAAAAGACAAGAGAAAAAAAAAACTGGAACGAAAATTACGACATAAGGGAGATAATAGTAAATGAAATTCCAACCCAACCATCTTAGTTCCTCACGCTTCCTTCCCTCCCCAGTATCATATGGCCTCCTTTTACAACTGCGACATTTACTTACAAAAAAAAAGCTGAAGTATCATGGTCACTTTTCCTCCTCCACTTTTGCTTTTCAACTGATACTGGTGCGTTAATTACTGGAGCGCCCTTTTTAAGATACTAGTATTTCTACATCTCTCAAACCATTAACCTTAAAAATGAGTTGAACCAAAGAAATTAAAAAAAAAACAGAACTAGCTCCAAACCAAGTTGGTCCGTTCTTAATGAAATTCAGGCAATATTCAATTTTATTTGCTCAGAGGACAAACTAACCCTGCAGTTTGATGTACAGGAAATGTTGATGCACGATTAACCTTCGCTATCAACTGACTGCACCAAGCGCTGCATTCGGTTCTTTTCCTGCACCAGTTGCAGGGTAAATTAGGATAGACAGAAGAAACAATGAAATAAAAATTAAAAAAAAAAAAAGGTGCAGATCAAATTATAACACCTCACTCATTTCTCTTTCTTTAGCTTATTCCATACGTTGTCATTTCGACCGTCCCGGCCCCTTATAAAGCATAACCTTCTTTCGGTTACGACTAAGATTTTTAATGAAAAAAATTGGAATATGTTGATAACTTTTTTTGGTTCAACATAATGTTTCAACTGATTTTAATGAGATGTAAGTGGACGTTCCTATTCTCATTTTTCCCATCATTTCTACTTATTTCAAATCTTTGATGTTATAATAAAAAAAAAAAAAAGTGAGAAAAGTCTAGCCGAGACCAGTTTGGTTAAATCTCAACTAAATTTTAAAAAAAATTCATACTCAAATCAGTTCAGTCTTATTTTGAATCAGCAAACCAACCCTGTGGCTTGAGAGACAGGAAGTGCTGGTACATAACCAGTATTCGCTGGCAACTGATTCCACCAGGCGCCATATTCAGCATTTTTCTTATACGAATTAACGTTGTTTTTCTCTTTCGACACGTCCGTAGAACTGTCAGGTCGCCGCCACGCCTGAAAACACTGCCAGTTACAGAAATGGACTTAACAGGCCACAGTGTGCGATAAAGCATTTTACTGCGCAACGAAACAGTATCACGAAACCTTGAATTCCTTCAATCTGTTGGCTACGCGTACTCTGTTATGTGGTAAATTATCCAGTAATGAGGTTGCCACATTTCATTACTCTAAGCTAAGCTGGCCGCTGCGCTATCTCAAACGTTCAGTATTTTCTTCCTTCATGAACAAAAACAGAATTTCAGGCACTGCTGCTTTCACAGTAGCGGCCAGCGTAAACAAAACTTAAGGCCCTCTGAGGGAGTGGAAGGAGGTAGTTACCAGGACCAGGGACAGCGGCCCATTCAGCGAAGGGTATCGACTCCAATGTTCGCACCAACTCTAAATGTAATAGGAATAAGCAGGGTTGGAAGGTGGCCGTCCAGAATCCAGTAAGGTAGTGAAGGAAGGAAAGTAAAAAAGGTGAAGATTCTTGTGATGCACATTTATTAAAACAGAGTGGCATGTGGAAAAGTCCACTCCATATCTGCAGTTTCCACGACATGCTGCTTTAGCACCATCCCCTTCAGACGATCCCTTCCAGATCAAGTCTGTCTGCTGCAAAAACACCAAGAAAAACCTTTTTTTGCGATTTGTCCTTGAAGGCATCATATACAGGGTTGCCCGGCGTCAACACAGCTGCTCTCATCGGGACTGTTGGCACAGGCCTTGTCACTTCTCTTGCTTTCAGTCGCTCTACAACTAGTTCATAAGTTCACACACAATGCCCAGCAAAATGACAAGTGACAGGGTTGAAGTGACAAGTGATAGTAGAAAGGTTGAAGACAATTTGGCGCTTGCCTCTATTTAGCATATACCCATACCCAAGCTCGCTTGCTATTGCTCCTTACAGTGCAGCACATTAGGTGTTCTATAAAAAGGAAGCATTGAAGAAGAAGAAGTGGAAAGGGATGTGACCCGAATGAGACCTGCAATGCTGCTGCACGAAGAAAGCATTTGTACGAAAGCGGTGCCCGTGTACGAAACTTGCTGAGCAGGCGTCAGCGGCTTGAAGAATGCTGCGTTCGGTGATGAATGCTGCTGGACAGGATGCAACTGCGACAAATCTGCTGCACAGGGCCGCTTGGATGTACTGGCGAAATGAGGATGCAGCGCTGGCATTGAAGCCTCATTCCACTCTGTGATATCAACCAAAATAAGCAAATATGTGCTTTAAACAGTGAAAGAAGTTCTTAAATGAAAGAATTATAGGTACACATGTACACATGAATTATAGGTACACATCGATACGACAGCAAAATACGAATATTAGTGGGGCGGAAGGGGCATTAGAAATGCCCCTATTCGACCATCCAAGCTTGGTTTGGCCTCTGTGCAAACATGCATACTCTTTTATGATGTTGAAAATCCAAGAACCTAGGACTGAAGACATAAGCAAGGGCGATGTTGCACTTCTCTGGGACTAACAAAAAATTTTTAAATGCTACTACTCCCTCATCCATGAAGTACCCTTTGTCCACTAACGGCTTCTGTACGAGAAAAAGAGGGAGTGGAAAAAAAGAGGTGCGGGCTGTCAATAAACCACCCATGAGAAAACGATGGAGAACTTACGCTGAGGATGTACAGGACTGAAGGCACTTGAAGAACGTGCGCCAATACTAATCGTCGTGTCGCCTGGCTGCAAAAAAAGTGGTTATCTATCAGCGGAAGTGATGAACGAATAGCAGTGACGTCAGACAAATGAGAGGCATCAAGAATGAGGACCTTCTGCTCCAGTTTGTTGAGCATTTTTGCGTTGCGAGTAACATACGCCTGTAATTCCCTGACCAACGGAATGACGGTGTAGAAGCAGTTCGGATTTAAACCAGTTTTTTCACAGCTCGCCATATCGTTCCTGTCTTTTGGTAAATGCCAAAGCGAAAACCATTGGATTTTGCTAAAAATTACAATTTGTAACAACTGACACAGCACTTGACAGTACTCAATTGTTCCGTATAAACGAATAAGTACTGAAGTTAAATGAAAAAACTTCCTCCACACATATCTTTTTTTCTACGAAAGGAAGAAGCACTAGAAAGCAGGCCAGCGACATCACACTGCCAAAAGTAACTGCTCGGTGGCAGATCTGACTCCCTCTAGCGATGACTGATGGGAAGAAGCAAAGTGATGGCGATTTTAACTCCCCTGGTACCAACTTGTGAGCAAAACGAATGGGAAAATTGTAGAAGGATTGTCTCAGTGGCGCAGTTTCTGTCATTGGTTAGGGCAGAACCTTCGATCGTCACAGTACGAGAGCAGCAAAATTTCCCAGTGTGCAGCGCCAGCAAGCGTGAATGCAAGAAGCTGCCGCAATATTATGCAGGGCAACGAAGCCATACAAACAAAACACATACCCTATTTCGCTGCGAGTGTTCGGCGCAAATGGGAAGTCGATGGGAACATCGTGGATTATATAAAGGCGTATTAAGGTATCATTCATATAGCTTTGGATCATGCGTTTTGGGGAAATTTTGTCGGAGATATCAAAGCCCACTTCTTCCCATACCTCCCGAGAAGCGCAATCCATTGGTTCCTCTTCTTCATTCACCTGAACGAAGTGCTCGCCTTCAGCAATAACAAATAATGCAACATTCTCCAATAGTTGCTATAACTACCACTATTATTCCTCAACAACCGCGCTTCTAGTGAACTCACGTCTTCTTTCTATAGCAGCAGGAGCCGAACAAACCTTTCCTTTGGGGAAGCCCCAGCTGTTTTTTGCGAAATAGCCCTGCACAAGCAGCACATGGTTCATTGTGCTGTCCAGAAGTGCGGCGCCGTACGTCGGCACGCCCGTCTTATATCCGCGCCATTCGTCAAACACCTGCAACAAGATACCACATTTTTCTCTAAGCCATGGAGCACAATTTCGCATAAATCACTGTGTACAGAGTACCTGAACAAGGCGCAATGAAGCACGAAGCGACCGGTGAGTGAAGAAGGGCTGAATGCTGAACTAGCCTTCTACGTGTTGCCTGGACTAATTATGAGTCTTCCGGAAAGAAAAG